TTCAATTATGTTGTGTTATCAGGCCTATATGGAATAGAGTGGCGTGGGATCACTCCTGGGTATGTGCGTGGTAAGGTGGAACAGTGATTTAAGGGCTTAGGAACAACTCTTGGAACATTCGAGGATGAACGTATGTTTAAGTGGGGGAGAATGTAACGATCCGACTTGTCGTTTTGAACATTTACACTCCTTTCAACTATTTGAAGTCTTGAGTAGCTTCATGTGATCTATTATGACCAGTGTGTATTGTCGGCTTTCGTTTTCGGATGATTCGGGATTAAATTGAAAGAATAATCCTTGCTTAGAAGCTTAAATGCAAAGGGTTGATCGGAGTTTGACTTTTGTGTAAATGACTGCGGAATGGAGTTTTGATGGTTCCAATAGCTCTGTATGGTAATTTTGGACTTAGGAGTGTGTCTGGATATTTATTTTGAAGTCCGTAGTTGAATTTGGCTTGAAATGGCGAAAATAAGAAATTGAAGGTTTGAAAGTTTGACCGGAAGTTGACTTTTATGATATCGAGTTCGAATTGTGATTTCGGAAATTTCAGTAACTTTGTTATGTCATTTATGACTTGTACGCAAAATTTGAGCTCATTCCGGATTGATTTGATATGTTTCGGCGCGAAATTTGAAAGTTGAAAGATTTAAAGTTCATTAAGTTTGGATTGAGGTGCGATTCGTCGTTTCGACGTCGTTTCTTCAAGCATAAGTAGTATCATATTAAGCAAATGAGCTACAAATTCAGTGTTGTTTGAAGCATTAGATCCGTATTGAAATAACGGAGCCATAGCAAAAAGAATCGTCGAATTCAGACATCGTATGAGAGAGTTATGCCAATTTCCGTAGAAATAGAAAAGATTTCTCATCACCACCGCCCAGGGTAGCGTGGGGCGCTAGCCCTGGCGCTGGGATTTTTGAGGTTCTGGAAACTAGGCCACATGTACCTATGGCGCTCAAACATTAATCCCTATAAACGGGGGATTTCTCCATTTTTGACATAAACAGAGTTGGGGAACTCGGTTTGGGCGATTTTCAGAGGCAAATTTCGCCACATAACTTGGGGTAAGTGTTCTTGACTCCCTTGTTATTATATTTCATGAATTAATCTTCGTTTTCGGCATTAGATTATTGATTTTTCAAGAGAAATCGTAGGAATTTTCTACAATTCCATAAAACAAATTTTCTAGCTTTGAACACCGATTCTTAGTCGGATTTGAATGAAATTAGTATGGTTGGACTCGTAATTGAATGGGTTATCGGATTTTGTGAGTTTCATCGGGTTCTGAGATATGGAACCCACTGTTGATGTTTTAGTTGAATTTGGTATTTTTATTAGAAAATTTAGCATTTTCATATGGAATTGATTCCTACACCTCGTGTTGATTGTATCGAATTAATTGTAACTAGATACGAGGTATTCAGAGGCCAATTCGCGAGGCAAAGGCCTATTGGAATAAAGAATTGCACGGTTTGAGGAAAGTAACATTTCTAAACTTTGATCTGAGGGTATAAACCCCGAAAATACATGTTATATGATTTTTTTTGGGTGTGACGCAAATGCTAGGTGACGGACGTGTGGGTGTGCACCATAGAAACAGTGACGTAATTGATTCTGTGGAATTGTGTAGTCAAATAATCTTGGCATTGTCCATGTACTTTAATGTGTTATGGAAATCGAGCTGAGAATCATGTTAAAAAATCATGCTGAGGCTATATGCCGGTATTATTGAGCCCCACAGAGGTCATGTTGCTGTTGAATTATTTGATTAAATTGTAATTTTGTACTCAGTCATATACATTCATTGCATATCATATCTCAGTCTCTGTTGTTATTTATTGATATATCATATCATCATTTTGGGCTAGTTTCATGATATTATAAGCCCGAGAGACTGAGAGATTGATGACTGAGTGAGGCCGAGGGCTTGATTGTGAGGATAATTATGGAATCGGGCTGCACGCCACAACAGACCATATTGGCTTTATATATTTTATTATTATATGGATCGGGCTGTACGCCGCAGCATGCCTTATATGCTTTATTATTGTGGGATCAGGCTGCATGCCGTAGCAGGCCAAATTGGCTTTTTATAGCGCTTGGGCTGAATGAGCCCATCCAGAGTGTGCACCCCCCCACAGTGAGCGCAAATGACATTATATTTGGGATGTATTTCCTAGGGCATGTAGTTGCCTTATTTATTTATGTTTGGGATGGACTTCCCAGGACATGGAGTTGCCTTATTTATTTATTTATTTATTTAGGTTTGGGATGGACTTCCCAGGGTATAGAGTTGCCTTATTTGTTTATTTATATTTGGGATGGAGTTCCCTGGACTGGATTGGTCCTGTACAATACTGAGTGGCTGAATGTCAGTTATTATGTATATATATATTTGGGATGGATCTTTCCTGGGCTGGATTGGCCATATACAGTACTAAGTGACTATGTGCAAGTTGTCATTTATATTTGGGCTGGATCTGTCCTGTACAGTGCCGAGTGACTAAGTGTGGAGAATATTGAGCGTGATGAGTGAAAATGCAAGACAGTGAGATTGAGTACTCTGTAAGTGTGAGTACATGAGTTCATCATTGTGCGGCATTGCATTAGACATGAATACTTGATATGTAGGCATAGAGAAGTATTTTTCCTCATGCTATTTGATAATGAGATTTCTTATCTGTCGTTAAAGTTTTTGAAAAAAATCACAGGTTTCAGACTTACTCATATTTTCGGTGACTTTCGGCAAAAGATTTGAGTTTTACTGTTATATTAAAAAGAATGTTTATTTTTTTCTGGAATTTTATACGAGCTGAGCATTTTATTATTGAGTTATTACTTGTGTTGCTTTAAATTGTATTGTTATGAGATGCTATTAGTTATTGGAGTTGGACTCTGATCCTTGTCCCAGCTCGTCACTACTTTCAACCTAAGGTTAGGTTTGTTACTTATTGACTACATGGGGTCAGTTGTACTCATACTACACTTCTGTACCTTGCGTGCAGATTTTGGACGTTGATGCTGCTGTACATGGCGAGAGCTGGCATTGGAGATGTACTTGCGTTCCGGTCATAGTTGCCTCTTGAACTTGGTAGCTTTAGATTTAAAAATTTGTTCATGTATTTTCAAACAGATGATGTATTTTATTTCACACCAGCTTTGTAAATTTTGAATCATAGAAGCTCATAATTTGTACTACCAGTCCTTGAGGAGTGTATTAGAGTCAGTTAAATATTAATTAAATCGGATATTTGTAAATTGACTTACCTAATGGGTTGAGTTAGGTGCCATCACGGCTAGTTGGATTTTGGGTCGTGACATCTACTCCCTACTATTTCTTCCCCTCTAACGGTTACTTTATAGTGATTAGCGACTAATGTTTTTCCCAATTTTGCTCAATGAGCCTATCTATTAACATTTTCGGACCACCCATCCCCAAAATTCTAATGCCACCGGACCCCAACATTAACAGAGATGCCTCCTCATCTAAACATTTTCCACCTTTGCAAAGAAGAGCAATGGAAACAACACAATACCCAAGCAATCGCAGCTAGAATCTTATGTAGGAGCTCATGGCTACAAAGTTGGAAATCGAACAGGACTAAAAGTAAGAATACCCCCAAGAGCACATGAAGTGATTGAAGGCAAAGCGGTGGTTGTTCTTATCAAGGAAGAACATGAACTCCACATGCTGGTGGACCATCATCGGTAAGTTTCTTCGAGGCAAACCTGCCATTGACAAAATTAGGGTTGATTTTGCTCGATTATTTATCTCTAAAGGAGAAATTAAAATTTGTGCAAAAGATAAATACCATGTTTTCATAGATGTTGAAAATGAAGATGACTTCAATAACATTTACTCAAAGGAGTTTATTAATCTCTCGAAAAATATCAGCATGAAGATTCTGAAATGGACAGCCAATTTTAAGCCTAACACTGAAACATCCCTGGCCCCTGACGGGATTAATCTCCCGAATGTACCTTGGCATTACTATGAATGGGATACCCTATGCAGGATATTTGGTTCCATAGGTACCCCATTGGTCATGGACGGAGTTCCCCATTGGTCATGGATGGAGTTACAACAACAAAATCTAGGCCAACCACAACAAAATTGAGAGTTCAGATTGATCTTGCCAAGCTCTTTTTATCTATAGTAATAGTTGAAGTAAAAAACCAACACGGCAAAATGAAAGCCTTTGACTAGAAAATTGAATATGAGTCCATGCTTGCCTATTGCTCTCACCTCAAGGCACAAGGACACTCTATTGAAATATGAAAATTCTCACAACTTGCTCAACAAAAGAAAAGAGGTCAAACCTCCACTACTGGAAAATGGCTGAATTACGACCGTCAAAACGGTCGGAAATCACGAATTTCCGACTATTTTCCGATCAAAATTGGTCGGTCGAAAAATAGTTGTCGAAAAACAGCTTCCGACAGAATCCGTCGGTGATTTCCGACCAAAGTAGTCGGAACCTTCAAAAGGTCAGACGACCAAATTATTTTCAAATTTCCGACCAAAGTGGTCGAAATTTTACCTACCGAATCAGTCGTAATAATATAAATAAAAATAAATATTAATTTAAAATTAAATAATAAAAATATATAATTTCCGACCGAATCAGTCGGAAATTAATCATTTAAAAATAAAATTTATTTAATATTTGAATGAATCCGTTGAAAACTGTTAAAAATTAATTAATGATTTTTAATTTCCGATCGATTCGGTCGGAAATCTGGATATTTTTGGAAAAAATTGGGCAGCTGTCCGACCGTTTTCGTCGAAAATCAGTCGGAAGTTTCTGTAAAACTGGGCAGAATTCTGCTCAATTTTGAGCTACACCACCTGCCAAACAATTACAATACAATAACACCAATAACCAATCAACAAATATATCATCTAATCCAAACAAATCCAACCATTAACACAATCTAAACCAATAAATCCATTAAACCTAACAATTTTGAGCATAAAAATATCCAAATAGTAGCCCACATTCAAGTTTAAAAATAAAACATAAAGTTGTCTCTCACAATCAAGTTTATCAATCAACCAGAACACTACACCTACACTACTACACATCACATTCAGTTTGTTCATCCTCACCATCAGATAGATCATGCCATGTTTTCTCATAAATTTCTACATCTTAACAAATGTTCCGAATTAGGAGTCCAACTGTTGCTTCAAATCACGAATTTCTTTTTTCATATCTTCCATCTGTTCTTGATTTTGAGAAGAAGAAGAATTGGCTAAGAGTGGGTTTGGATGACCTGTAGGTCGACGTACTCCAAGTCCGTAGACTCTGCCTTTGTCGCTGCCTCTGTCCATAATGAAGCCATATCATCAGGTGTTGGTTGAGTTGAAGTAGGCTGAGTTTGTTGTCATTCTTCCACCCTTTTATGATTATCTTCCTGAAATGAAAACATAACTATTATGTAAACAAACTAATATTAATAAACCATAAATAATTATGAAGTTAGTATTTTACATATGTGTCCGACGCACCCATTTCCACCCAGTGTTCTCTTGTACCATCCTTCTTCTTTTTCTTATGCGTCTCCTCGAAGACCTCAGCGTGAATCATATCTCGCACTCTTTCCTTTTCCTTCATAACAAAAAGTATGAGTTAGGCATTACAATCATAAAGTTCTATATGTAAAACGAAGAAAAATTTTATAAGTAATTACCAATCTTAGTTTATGGGCCGCAAAACTAATCGAACCTCATGTGTGCAACGAGCCACCTTTATTGGAGGCACGATTTTCCTTTGCTTGTTCACTCTTCTTCTTTCATTCTTCGGTATTCCATTTCTAAAGAAGTTTATCCCAAACATCTTCTCTTAACCACCCAGGCATTTTACCAGCATTTCGAGCAGCGAACAGAGTATCTTTAATCCGCTTAGCAACCTTCTTCTAGAAAATATTATTTATTTCATTTTGATGTTGAGGATGCCATGTACACTTTGTCTGCAATATAAAAAATTAATATTATATGAAGACGATAATTATTAAATAAATATAATTAATTTTTACCCTAAATTGATTCCACATTTGCTATATGATGTTGTACGGTATCTGTCTCCAAGATATCCACGGCTCATGATAAATGGCTTCCTAGAATCCACAACCAAATGTGTAGATTGGAAGGATGGCAAAAACCTGTATTAAAGTTAACATATATAATTAATAAATATCTTAAAGTTTAAAAAGTTTTAATTATAAATAAATATTCCTTAATGTTAACATATCTAAAAGTACATTCAAAACTTAAAAAATAGTATCAGAACCTTCTTACCTATTCTCGTAGGGGACGATTATCAATCGATTATAACTATCATATTGTATGTCCCCTCCAAGATTATGCCTGTGTCTACTAGATGATGTAGAAGCATCACCAGATGTAACTGGGTGAGAGCCTCCAATATCCAACCTAGATATGCTGGGAATGGATGATGATGATGGAGAGGAAGATGATGGAGCAACAAAAGACGAACCATCATGCTGACTACCATGAAAGCTTGGGGATGCAGCAGCTGGTGGGCTACCATGCTGACTACCATGAAAGCTCGGGGGTGCAACAACTGGTGAGCCAGTATGCTGACTACCATAAAAGCTCGGGGGTGCAACAACTGGTGAGCCAGTATGCTGACTACCATAAAAGCTCGGGGGTGCAGCAGCTGGTGAGCCACCATGCTAACTACCATGAAACCCCACTAAAGAAGAAGGTGTGGGTACAAAGTTAAAAATAGTATTACTTTGACTTCCTTTGGCAGGCATAGAATAATACTGAACTAAATTATTAGATGGAGGGGTGGATAGTGAACATGGTAAATGGCAATGAAGTCGATTGAGGAGGATGAGGAAGAGGATGGCGAGGAAGAGGAGGACTCATATTTGGCATACTTGAGGTAGTTGGAACAAATTATTTTTTCTTCTTAGATTTCATCTTTTCCTTCCCCTTAGATGCCATATCTGTAATATAATCATAATAAAATACAAAACAAAAAATACAACAAGTGATAGTAAATACAAAATAATTATTCTACAAATTAAATGACTAAATAAATAAATAAACAACCTAATAAGTCATAAAAATATAAAATAATTTTGCAACATAATAGATAATTAAAGGAATAACATAAAAACCCCAACATGTCATAAAAAACATACAATAATTCTTCAAATATATTAAATGATTGAAGGAAGAACAACATAAAAAGGAATAACAAGTCAATCCTCATCGCTATCTTCATAGTAATCATCTAAGTCTTCATTATCGCCTGCTTCACTTTCATCTAGTATTTCTTCCTCATCACTTGTTTCATGTTCAACACCTCTATCTTCGTCCTCATTTTAAGGATCAAATTCTTCATATATCCCTTCATTATGCTGCAATTCATCTGCTAATTCATCATCCACTATTGATTCAACATTTTAAATGTCATTCTGATACGCCACATCTAATGCATCTTCGACTTCCACTCTACTCACAGACTTTATTTTCAAAACTACCCGCCATGCAGACTTATTCTTACTCAAAGGATAAGGAGCATAATACACTTGTTTCACCTTTTTTGCAATGATAAAGGGATCGGTATTGCCCCATGTGTTTAATTTTAACTATTTTGTACTGAGTGTGCACCTTTGTACCTTTATTCGGTGTTGGATCATACCATTTACATTGAAAGAGTACCAACTTTTTCTTCGGCCAACCTACAGTATACTCTAATTCCAAAATCTCTTGAAGCACGCCATAATAATCAACATCTCCATCACCTTTCACTCACACCCCACTATTGTTGGTTTTCATTCTATTAGACCATTCTTGTGTATGAAACTTGTACCCATTGACCAAGTATTTATACATCATTCTGACTCTAGAGTTAGGTCCCCAAGCTATATCACGTAAAAATGGGCCATTAATGCCATTAGCTGGATCATGAACCTCTCTCTCTCTCTCTC